ATCGACTGTTTCTCATCTTTCTCTTGAAAATATCCCATAGATTTCTATATGGGGTTCAGGTCAGGCATGTGGGCTGGCCAATCAAACACAGTAATGTCATGGTCAGCAAACCACTTGGAAGTGGTTTTGGCACTGTGGGCAGGTGATTAAGTCGGACTAACACCAGCAGACGTCACGGCACCCCAAATCATCACTTACTTTGGAAACTTCACACAACTTCAAGCAGCTTGGATTCTGTGCCTCTCCAGTCTTCCTCCAGACCTTGATTTCCAAATGAAATGCAAAATTTACTTTTATCTGAAAAGAGGACTTTAGACCACTGAGCAACAGTCCAGTTCTTTTTCTCCTTAGAGCAGGTAAGATGCTTCTGACGTTGTTTTCCTGAAGACGTCTGAGCGTGGTGACTCTTGATGCACTGACTCCAGCTTCAGTCCACTCCTTGTGAAGCTCTCCCAAGTGTTTGAATCTGCTTTGCTTGACAGTATTCTCAAGCTTGCGGTCATCTCTGTTGTTTGTGCACCTTTTCCTACCCAATTTCTTCCTTCCAGTCAACTTTGCATTTAATATGCTTTGATACAGCACTCTGTGAACAGCCACCCCTTCAGTAATGACCTTCTGTGACTTACCCTCTTTGTGGAGGGTGTCAATGATTGTCTTCTGGACCATTGCCAAGTCAGCAGTCTTCCCCATTATTGTGGTTTCAAAAAAAAAAAAAAAAAAAAAGTTTGAAATGTTTTACTTTACATGTAATGAATCTAGAATATATATGAATGTTTCACTTTTTGAAAGAAGTTACAAAAAAATGTAACTTTTTCACAATATTCTAATTTTTTGAGATGCACCTGTAGTTGATAATCATTAAAACAACAATTAAAATATAATTGTAGACAAAACCTATCACAAACCCCTATGTAAGAGGACAAATAAGCTTTCTATCTATACTCTAATTCATTTGCCTCAACTCAATACCTCATCAAACAATAGGGAGGAGAGATGAATAGATGAATGAAGTGCTGCAGGGATGACGTATTTTTGTAGGCCAAAAACACAGAAATGAGTTAGCAATTTAGCACTTCCAGTACCATTGTCCCAAAAGTCAATGGGTTTTTAAAACATATTTATGTTTAAATGACTGAAGTAAAGTCTATGGTCTGTAGCTAAGCTTAAAAATTTTGCAAACTTTTTCATGATGAACAAAACGTTTAAGAATCAAGAACTGCTTGGTTGGCCTACAAAAATATGCCATCACTGCAACACTTCATAGATCTGTAGAAATAGAGCTAAAAAGAAAAAAAAAAAAGAAGAGTGAAAGAGAAAGTCAGAGATGGGGGAAGCAGGTTGACCTGGTCTTCGTACACCTAATTACGAATTATGCTGAGTATACACCTCATATCTCCAACAGAAGGGCACCGAGGAAGAGGTAGAGGAGGAGCGGCAGCAGCAAGAGTGGGTCAAACTACTTTGAGGTCACTATGAAGTGACAACACAGCACAGCGGGAAACACTTTCTGCCTTATGAATGTCCCTCCTTTCCACCCATTATCCAATTGGGCAATAACAAGGAGAACACCTGTTAGTTCTACAGAGTGTGTTAGCTGGATGAGTTCAACCACATTCAGTTAACTCACACACATTGGTGAGCTCATCATGAACTAATCAATGTGCTCATCTAATCGGTGAGCTCATGGTGAAATAATCAGCTAGCTGGCTGACAAGCTCATCAGTTAGTTCAACTGTTGACAAACTCTTTGAAGTCAACAGTTCACATTGGGGAACTCATCAACTTGCTGGTGCATCATTGATTTAAAGGGATCATCGGCTAGTAATATTAGCCATTCATCTGATTTTGAACTGATGAATCTGAAAATGCCACATCTTTGAAGTGTGGCCACTTGATGGCACTATGAAGAGACAAAGACGAGAGCTGTACTCACACAGCATGGGGTTCCTTAAACTTGCCGACCTGCTGGATATGATACATGAGATCCCCACCACTGATGTATTCCATGACAAAGTACAGGCGGTCCTGTAGATACACAAGAGACAGTGGGGTAAGAGACAAACACAGGACAGTTGAGAAAAGATGACAAGACGTTTGAATTTTATTGTAACAGAACGGTTCTAGAAGTTGCAGTGCTAGTGAAGTAGCAGTGCTACTTGGGGGTCAAATGAGTTAAAGGAGTCATATGATGCTATTTTAAAGATCATTATTTTGTGTATTTGGTGTAACAGAATATGTTGACATGCTTCAATGTTCAAAAAACACATTATTTTTCAAATACTGTACATTATTGTAGGTCCTCTATGCCCCGCCTCTCTCAAACGTGTCGTTTTCAACAAAGCCCCTCCTTCAGACAAGCGCAGTCTGCTCTGATTGGCCAGCTGACCCAGTGAATTGTGATTGGCCGAACACCACAAGCACGCGTCGGAAATGTAACGCCCCTTACCATAATCGCGAGCTTCAGCTTCAAAGTAAATATCAAGACAGTTAATAATGTCGTTAGTTTTACCATCAGTTCAAGCCCGAAAGGGCAACAGAGTCGCATGACAGACACAGTGATGATGCAGTACACAAGCCGCGGTTAACAGGCAGTTCACTCTCCTGTGATGTGACCCTGTTCCCCTCACACACACACACGATGCGCTACTCTGCGCTACGCAAAACTCCGCATTTGAACAGTCAATAGCAAATACTTAAACTAATAACAAAACA